TTAATGCACATCCTCACCATTTAATGCACATCCTCACCATTTAATGCCTCCTCTTCTCCGGGAAGTTCCCCAATGTATAAATCTTTCCTCTCAAACAATGTGCTAAACAGCTTTCCACAGGCGTCGACAGCACTAAGAACATCCTTGTCCTTCTCTGACTGTTGAAACAAATGTTCATTTTAGCAACAACAAAAAAATACATGTGCACAGGAAGCTAGCTAGCTAAACATCAATTCGGAGTTAAATGTTTTAAACGGTTTTGTTTTTATTACCTGAAGAAACTCAAAAAGATCAAAAACGTCATTGGCGTGCTTTCGGCTTTCAAGTATACGTTCAGCAATACAGTTTACGTCAATTTTAGCCTTTTTTAAATTTGACTCGGAGCTCACGTTGCGCTTCTTGGTCGGCGCCATGTTTACGGAAGATGCTGCGTTCACGTGACTTCTCGAGAGTTGGGAAAAGAAGACACTCAGTTCGTGAAAGACTACGCTTTGTGTAATGTATACAGTACAACGAATAATTACAGGAAATACTGCTAAAATAGACAAAAACATAAACAGATATAATATTAATAAACAATTAGCCACTAACATTTCAGTATGATTATCTCTGTCCAATAATTTTGAATGCAGCATTTGCCAAAACATTCAGCTCATGACCAATAGATGGTGCTCACAATGTATTGAAGGAAACAAATTAAAAGAAATTGAGAAATTTAATTTTGTTCAGCTTTGCATGGTGCACTGTACAATTTTGAATGATAATAAAGTTTAAACTTATATTAAATAAAATGAAGGGTTGAATAGATAGAAGTCTGGGTTGATGCAAAGGATGTCCCATGACATCCCTGTAAGATTAATATCATAAAAATTAAAATAAAAATCTTTGTCTTTAGTCTTGCAGTACTGTTTAATCCAAATTTGAATTCTGTTAAAACCTACATTGTTCAATTTAATGTTGGTGTAATGTTCCTCCTGCACTATAATTGTATTACTATAATATATACTGGGGTAGTGTCTATAATTATTTAAACTTACAATAAACACAAGGAAAGAAACAGATAGCCACAAAGAAATAAGAAGCTTTAATTATGATTAATAACAATCATTGTATTAAAGAAATTATTTATCCCTACTACAAAATTGAAAAACTGAAAAATTACAGTCAACATAAGAGATATTTTTAAACAAAATGCATCTCTCTGTAGTGATCTAATCAGAGTCGTTCCCTTCATCTGCATTGTCCTGGGGGAGAAGAGAGGAAGACTTACAACAAGCAACACAACACATGTTCAAGTTAAATGCATATCAGACAAATCAGCACTCCTAGATAC